GATAGACAGTGACGCTATGTCTGTCACAGCTCTTCCTAATTCTTTTACTCAGAGCAGATCCCTTCAACTGAAAGGTGGTACAGCCCTCTTTTTTTTTTTTTTTTTTAATATAATTTCATTTATTTATTTTTCCACCAAAGCCCCAGTAGATAGTTGTATGTCATAGCTGCACATCCTTCTAGTTGCTGTATGTGGAACGCGGCCTCAGCATGGCCAGAGAAGCAGTGCATCGGTGTGCGCCCAGGATCCGAACGCGCACTGCAGCGCGTGCACTTAACCGCTAAGCCACAGGGCCGGCCCCCTCTTTTTTTGTTTTTTTTTTTAAAAGAGATCGTCCCCTCATTCCTTCTTTACCATTCATGTCAAACCAAATAGATTCAAGCAGTTAAACTGTTTTTGTCAATCTTATTTGATTCATCAGAAGATCCTTCAGAAGAACACGTCACCCTCAATTTATAGATATAGAGACTAAGGTCCAGGAAAGTGAAATGACTTGTCCAAGGTCACATGGTGAATTAGAGGTGGAGCTGGAACTAGCCTTTAGGTTTTCTGACTCTCAGCCCAGTGTTCTCTACTAATTTAGTAAGAAGGAAAGGTATGTGTGTATAATATGCAGATCAGACTTAAAGAAGGTTGAGGTGTATTAGGACCCAGGATCTAGACAGTTCTGAAGGGACCTTGCCTCCTCCATCCACATCTTCACCCCAGTTTATTAGCACACATTTGAGGAATTCATCAGCCAGATAGAAACACTTTCCTCTTAGGGTTCAACAAAGCTTTCATGACAGGGAGTTGTGGGGAATGGTCCAGGGGATGTCAGTATCCCCTTTTCCATAAGGAAAGTTAGACTCCGAGGGCTTATTATCCTGGAGTAACTTGTAGAAGGAGCAGAGGAATAGCAGAAGAACCTGCGTGTCTTTGACCACTGCAGGCTTCAGCCTAAACCAGGCGAGAGTTGGGCTAGGGTAGGACAGCAGTGACAAATGAAGATGAGAACCCTGAGGAGCTTCACTATCTATACCTCCTGCTGACAGATTTAGTCTGGGGTTTGGACAAGTAAGTTCCCTTCATTTAAAATTTATGAAGAGGAATTCGCACTGCTGCTCTTAAAAATAATCCTTGGTTCTGGAACCAGAAGGAAAAAAAAAAACCTTTCCCAAAGTCTTGGCCTCAGACATTTCAGTCTTGCCCAGGCATCCCCTTCCTTTTTGTCTCCATTTTTAGCTTCTCTCCTTTCACCCCTTTCCTCTTCCTCTCTTTTCTCTATTAACTGCCCAAGTTCCCTTTTTATCCTTTTCCCTCCTCACATGTCCCCTAACTCCTGAAAACAAGAAAGGAAAAGGGTAGGTACCTTTAGCCAACAGATTAGTAGATAGTTGATATCATAGATACTGAGGCTGAGAGTCAGAACATGGAGCTTGAGATTTTGGACCTTACTTCTAGACCTCAGAACAGAGTTGATGGGGCAGGTGTTTAGTCATCCATTTATTCACTCACATGTTCCCCAAATACTTAGTGTCTCCTACCTGCCAGACTCTGTGTCAGATACTTGGGCTATTCCAGTTAATAAGACATGAAACCTGCCATAAGATCACAGTCTTATGGGGAAGACAGAGCAGCAGTAAACCTCCTCTCCCTGCCCCCTCATTCAAATCATTGGATTTTGTGGTAGAAAGAACTTGAGAGTTTATCTGGTTCTCCTTTCATGTTGCTATATATGAAGTAAGGCAGACCATGAAGTAAGCAAGCACACACATAGGCTTTGGAGTAAAGTAAAGTAGACCTAGGTTCAAATCCTAGCTCTGCTACTTACTAGCTGTTTGACCTTGAGTGGCACACACAGCCTCACTCATCTTCAGTTACCTTGGCTATGAAATGGGCATGCCATCACCTGCTTCCTTCACAGGGTATTATGAGGGTTAACAGCATAACATCTAGCCCAGTGTCTGGTGCAGAGTAGCCTGTCTTTCTGTCACCCTACGTCAAGGGGTGGCTTAAGTCGTGCTCCTTCTGTGAAGCTTCTGAGGCCACCTGTGGTCAGACTGATTTCTTTCTCCTCTTTTACAATACATAGCGCTCTTTGAACGGTTAGATCCTGCCTAATGGCAGAAAATTGACACAGTCCTATTCTGGGCTGCAAGGAGCCTAAGGATAAGGACTGCTCTCATTCATACCTGCATCGTCTCTAACTCCTAACCCAGAGCTGTAACCATGGCCAGCTAGGCTCAAGAAAGATTTTTTGATTGATTGGATAGAAGGCTTCTATATATACGTAGTGTTTTGCTGCTGACAGAAAGAGCTGTTAAAGACCTGGCTGGAAGTCTCTCATCCTAACTCTTCCCCTTTCCTCTCCTGTCACGTTGATTCTCACAAGATCCCTGTATTGTAGGCAGGATGGAAATTGTATCCCCATTTTGTAGCTGAGGAATCCGAGGCTCAGATAGAATCCAGGTCTCTTGTTAGGAGATGGATCCAGAGTAAGATAAGAGTAGCAGGAATGAACAGAAATGTTAGCTGACTAGGTCTCCGTTCTCTGGAAGCATTAGGAATCTTTACGAGGAAGAAGGAACAGTCCAGAACCGGCTGTAGTCTCTGCCAGAGGTGTTTCAAGAACATGACAGAGAGAGTGATGAGAAAGGGTTTGGAATAACTTCATAGATTTGCTAGGCTTTGAAGATTAAGAAGAATTTGAATACGTACAAATGAAGACAAGCGTTCCAGGTGAGAGAACAGCATGGACAAAAGTATGGAGCTGGAAAGCCCACGATAGAGGTAAGGCAGGCAGATCATGGCATAGCTAGAGAGTGAGGCTGAGGTGGTTGGGAGCCATGACATTTTATGGAGCAGGGGAGTGGCATTAGGAACATTAGTCTGGCAGTGTGGGCCCAATGGATTGAGCAGGATAGGTCGGGGGAGACTCATGAAAGAGAGACCAGGGAAGAAGCTATTATAACGGTCTGTCCTTGTAATGTCAATAATTTTTAAGAAATATTCCAGCAGTGCAGGCAAGAGATAATGAGATCCTGAACCAAGAGGAGGTTGACACAGTAGGGAATAAAGAACAGTTTGGATGTAGAGCTCTTAGAGTGAAACAACCCACGAGGACTTGGCAGTTGTGGGAATGAGGGAGGGAGGGAGGGGTCAGAGAGCATGAACATTTGGAGTCTAAATACTTGGGAGAATAGTTTATACTGTTTGCTGAACCATAGAGGCTGGGAAATAGGAGATGAGTTCAGTTTGTTGACATGTTGAATGGGAGGTGCTGATAGTCCATTCCCCTTACCACCCACCCCCTAGTGCCTCTGCCTTTGTCCTTTGACCCGGGCCTGTAGAGATCCCTCAGTTCCATGTGTTCACTGCTTTGTTCCAGGCCTGAAGGCCCCCCCCCCCCATTCTCCACCCATGTCTTAGAGCAACTGTCATTTGGTCTCTGAAATAAGATTGTGCATGTCAAGTGCTTAGCACTGGTATCTAGTTTATTTCAAAGTGTTCATTAAACGTTAGTTGCCATTAAATGGCTGTTGTGGTTACCACCGTTGTTTTGTCATGACAGTAGCTAGAGATTAGAGAAGGCTCTGAAACCACTTGGCTCAGCAGTCGTTCAACGAGTATTCAGTAAAATGCCTGGACTGCAAGTAAATGGAGAGGATCTCAGGCTTGGGTGTAAATGGGGGCTCTGAGCCATGTCAGCTAGGACTAGAGAACATGTTTCTTTTTTCTTCTGTTTTTGAGAAGTGGTATAGTATGTGGTTAAGAAGACATGCCCTGGAGGTTGGACTCCCTGGGTTGAGGTCCAAGTTCTACCATCTATTAGATATGTGACTTGGGTAAATTTACTTAACTTTTGTGCCTGTTTCCTCGTTAGTAAAATGGGGACTAGAACAACACGCCAGTCCTTATGAGATTGTTGTAAAGATTAAATGAGTTAATACAAATAAAGGATTTACAACTGCCTGGCATGTGCTACTATTCTCCTTACCCCAGAGGCACCTCTATCCCCCAGTCTAGGTAATAAATAGGAGTTTCTTTGTTCTTCAGCTGTCCCCACCCAACAGAGGAGAGGGTGAGCAGAGAAACCTGAAACCAATCTCAGAGCGCTTGAAAGTTTGTCCCAGCTGGGTTCTAGGTTATTTAAGCCTGGAGGAACCTGGCCCAGGAGTGAGACAGAGTTAGAGTTGTCCGGAAGACCCGGGTTCCCTTCCCAGTTCTGCCACTAATTTACTTTGGTCTTAGGCAAGTCACCTAACCTCTGAACCTTCGTTTTCTCATATGTAAAATAGAGAGTATAATTAATTCCTCCACGTATATCTAGTATCTTATTCTTCCAGGCACTACATTCTAGCTATGTTGACTTGTTCCTTAAGCATAACAAGCTTATTTTTTTTTTTTTGTGAGGAGGATCAGCCCTGAGCTAACATCCAATGCCAATCCTCCCTTTTTTTTTGCTAAGGAAGACTGGCCCTGGGCTAACATCCACGCCCATCCTCCTCTACTTTATATGGGACGCTGCCACAGCATGGCTTAACAAGCGGTGCGTCGGTGCGCACCCGGGATCCGGACCGGTGAACCCTGGGCCGCGGCAGCGGAGCGAGCGCACTTAACCGCTTGTGCCACCCGGCAGGCCCCAACAAGCTTATTCTTGCCTCAAGGCCTTTGTACTTGCCATTCCTCCTCTCTGAAACACTCTTCCCTCAAATCTTTGCAGATCTTACCCTTCACTTCATTCACGTCTTTGTCCAGCAGTCACCCCTTGGAGAAGCCTTCCTTGACCATTTTATGTAAAATAGATCTCATTCTCACTCCTTGTCATTTTTTCTTCCCTTACTCTGCTTTGTTTGTCTTTATAGCACTTAACATGACGTGACATTATATATTTAATTATTAGCCTGTCTTTTGCTGGGATGCAAGACATGTGAAAATAGGAACTTTGAATGCCTGCACTGATCTAAGTTCCCGCCTGTTCTGAGCAGGACCCTGACTGATTTCTGTCTCTCTTATAGGTGAGCCCTGTTCCCAGAGGTGCTGACCCTGTAACCCAAAAGAGAAAATCACTGGCTGAGCTCAGCCTTGGTACTGGTGAGTAAGGGTACCTGGGAAAACTGGACAAGCTTGGGCCAAGATACAGGGTAACTAGTTTGGGGCGTATTTTTACCCTTAATATAGAAAATTTACAGGTGATTACTCTCCTACTCCATGTCTAAGAGGTTGGCATAGGCAGCGTCCTGTACTGGGAAGAAATGGTCTGGGATCATTTGTGCCATGAATAAGGCAAAGGAGGCTCAGTTCCTTCTGGCTTTTGCCAGCTGCTTTCTGTTGGGGAGTATCCTGGACCTGGCAGCTAAACCCATCCTCCCACAAGCTCTCTTAAAATATCTCATAGTCCTTAGAGGCTTTTCTGATTTCCATGTTGACTGTGACCTACCAAGCCCATATGTCAGCTTCAGACAATCCTGGAGTTTTAGCAGTCCTGCAAAATGTCGTCGTGAACGGTGGTGAGGATGGAGTGAAAGAGTGAGGCTGTGTGAAGGGGAGGTCGGGAATCTTAGAGGGAAGACAGCAGATAGTGAGACGGGAAGAGAAATCAACACATTAAGAACCAATTGTGTTATGGATCACATTTAATCTAGACAAAACCCCATTTTATAGGTGAGGGAATTGAAGCTAAGGAAGCTGAAATAATTTGCCCAGGATTCACACCTGGGAATCCATAAAGCTGATGTTAGAACCTAGGTCAGTCTAAGTGTAAATACCATTGTTCTTCCTGACTTGGCAGGCTTTCCTTGGACTGCTAATCTCCCTGGGATCTTGATTTTTCTTAGAAAATTTATGAAGACAGACCTCCTTAGGGATTCAGGAAGGAGGTCCAATTATTTGAGGGACCCAGCAGGGCGGGCAGAAGTTGGGGGTCCCTTCTGAGCAATGGCATTTCTAGTGAGGGGGCCAGGAGACTGAAAGATAGGAAGAAACTTCAAGCAGGCAGAGGCCCAGGCTAAGTATGACTGGAAGGAGTAGAAAACGACTGTAATGCATAGGATCCCATAAACACTTTGGCCAGCACAGATAGGGACCTGGAGAGCTGGGTTGGAGTTGAGAAACCTCGATTTTTATTTTCTCTCTCAACATTTGCCTTTGGATAATCTCCATTTCCCTATTTGTAAAATTAGAGTGCCTCCCTGCACCCTCACATCTATTGTGTGTACACCAATCATGGAGGATGTAGAGAATCAAATGAGAAATGCAAGTTGGAAAGCTTTGTGAATTGTAAAGCAGCATGACTGAAATGAGAGAAAGTGAGAAGGAAGCATTATAAGTATCCCTGGCATCTCAGTCCCTGACCTGTATGCCAGCCTCCTCCCCAAGGTGTAAAAGGGAGGGTTTTCCTTTGGTGCTGTAAATCTTTCCCAGTGCCCTCTCCTCTCCTTCTTCTGCAGGCCCTACCTGATGCTCAGTCTTTCCACAAGGGAAAGGATTCCAGGGCACAGACACAAAGCCAGGCAGCACTGGCAGCCATAATTTGCAGCGTGGGGGCTACAGAGTGCAGGTTCAAATGCACTCGTGCAGCCTGATTCCAAGGCCACTGCCAGCACAGATATTAAAGCAGTTTTCAAGAGCTCGTCCCCGGCGTGTGTCTGCATTCACTGACTAGCTCCACTGAGATGTTGTCTTGTTCCCTACTGTCATTTCAGAAGAGGAAGGCTATTCTTGTTTTGGTCCTAGGTTCCCTGCTCACCCCCAACCCCACCCTTCAACTGCTAGTGAAAAAAGGCACTTATGCTGTAGCCTCATATCTTATCAGAGGCCATGGTCGTTCCGGTTTTCCCACCATCTTTCTCTTCTCCTTGGCCAGTGAAATTGGCCATTCTCTTCACACTTTGTAACAATGGATGTTCTGTTCTTCCCCCTAGCTGCCTGAGGGTGCACAGAGGAGTCTGTCCCCCAGCTGATGCTCTTGGAATCCGCATTGGCTGGCATTCCCTGTTATTCTGAATCTCCAGGCTTTTGCTGCTACCTCTTTTTGTCTGGTTATTCTAAAGTTCTGTAGCTTCTAGCCTTTCACCTAAATGGCCTAGGTGCTAAGCTTGGATCTTATTCTTGTAACAACTGTCCTGTGAAGAAGTTCCACTATTGACTATTTTTAAATATGAATGATTCCACGTAAAAAAGTGTATAATATACTGACATCCATATAGTGGCTAATTTATCTAACATCCTCAATTTTCTAGAGCCCGACTGAAAAACAAGAAGGAAGCAAAGCGTTGTCATCCTTAAGCCCTTACACAGTGCTAATTTATTCCTATTTTTACGTGTTGTAACAGTTTAGCAATCTGGTTTCTAAACTTCAGTAAGATTGAAAGCAACTTATAAAAAACGGGGAGGAGCTGCTGTATTAAGAGCAGCTAGAGGTGAGAGCTGAAAGCTGACAGTAAGGGAGGGGTGAAAAGAAAGATAAGAAAGAGAAGTTAAGGGCTGGCCCTGTGGCTTAGCGGTTAAGCGCGCGCGCTCTGCTGCTGGCAGCCAGGTTCGGATCCCGGGCGTGCACTGACGCATTGCTTCTCCGGCCATGCTGAGGCCACGTCCCACATACAGCAACTAGAAGGATGTGCAACTATGACATATAACTATCTACTGGGGCTTTGGGGGGGAAAATAAATAAATAAAGTTAAAAAAAAAAATAGAAAAGTTAAAATGCACATGGAGGCCGTTTACTCTAGGGGCAATAACCCTACAGAAATGTGCTTCAGTGAGGTGGGACTAGGTAATTTTTAAGGTAGTTCTAGGTTTCTCTTGAAGGCCAGATGTATCAGAAAATGTTAAATTAATTATGTTTAGTGTCTGTTATCAGGTGCTATACTGAATGCTCTATATAAATTGATTTCATTTTCATAGCAGCTTGGGAGGTAGGTGGTGATATTCTCATTTTATAAATTACTGAGATTTGGAGAGGAACACACAGGCGGTAATTGGAAGAGCTAAGCTTAGAACCTTGGAGAATCTGGCTCCAGAGAACCAGGTTTTTTCTATTATCCTACATTGATTCTTTCCCTTTGACTTAAAACCCTGGTCCTTCTCAGCCTCTTGGGCCAGTGGTTCCCCCTCTCTCCCCTTTTATTCCTTCTCCTATATATAATTTTCTTTTTGAACATTCATTCATTCAGTGAGTATTGAGTGTCTACTATGTGCCAGGCACAGTTTTAAGTGTTTGAAATGTAGCAGTGAAGAAAATAGTTTTTTTCTTGTCATTTAAATTCTAGTGGAGGAAAACAGATAAACAAATGTATACATATGGACCTTGGGAAAGCATTTAATATCTTTGGGCCTCAGTTTCCTCAGCTCTAAAAAGAGGAAATGAGGGGCCGGGCCTGGTGGCGTAGTGGTTAAGTTCGCACACTTTGCTTCGGTGCCCTGGGGTTCATGAGTTCAGATCCTGGGCGCGGACCAACGCACCACTTGTCAAGCCATGCTGTGGCAGCATCCCATATAAAGTAGAGGAAGATGGGTGTGGGTATTAGCCCAGGGCCAATCTTCCTCAGCAAAAAGAGGAGGATTGGCAACGGATGTTAGCTCAGGGCTAATCTTCCTCACACACAAAAAAAGAGGAAATGAAGTAGAAAGTTGATCTATAATTGCTGATGTCCCTTCCAGTTCTGTGCCTCCAAAGACACGTTGATCTGTGGTTCAAAGGCATCAAAGAATCAAGAGGGAAGAAAAAAGGAGGGGACCAAAGGAGAAGCCTCAGCTTCAGTCCTGCTTAAGGCCGCAACAGGGATAGTTACAAAGGAAGAGCTATTATCTGCAATGAGAAGGTGTTGGAAGTGTCTGGTTGTCTGCTGCAGGGGCAGTGACCTGCCTGTCACCCAGCATTTGGAAAAGAAATATCAAAGAGAAGATCAGAATGGCCTGGAAGGTTGGAGACTGAGTAGATAGTAAGTATGAGAGAGAGACCATGAGGCATAAGACCCAGTTTATGTTCTATTACCACTTTCTGGGTGTTTCCAGTCAAGCTATTTCTCTTTTTGCAGCCTCCATATTCCCATCTGTAAAATGGATTAGTCAAGTGATGTATTCTCCCAGGGCCTCTTCGGGGCTTTCTAAAATTTCATTATCCACTGTCTTCTGGCTCTCAAGTTGTGTTTATACCCTGGCTTTTGCCCTTGATGTTGAGGATTTCATTTATATGAGAAGGCTTCTTAACTAGCAAGGCTTTGTCTAGCCAAAGAGTATTTAGAGTGCTCTTGAAACCATAATTTCAGGTCACTAAGAATCATAAATTTTCAGGTTCAGAAATGCCTTGGTCTGCCTGATCCAACCCCCTCATTTAACACTGAGAGGTAATACAGCAGAGTAGAAAGACTATGGGCCTTGAGGCAGACCTTGAATTCAAATTCCTGCCAGTACTAGCTTAATCTCTCTGAGCCGTAGTATCATCATCTGAAAATGAGGCTAGTGATAACAGAGTAGGCATATGGAGAATTATTACTACTTGGAGGAGGAAAGAAAAAACTGAGGCCTGAGAGATGAAGTCACCTGCTCAGGGTCGAGCTCAGACGAGAACCTAGGTGTCTTGTGTCTCAGTCCAGGGTTTGCTTTTCATCTGGAGCCAAGGTCAGTTGTACCCATATGTATGCAGTAGCAAAGATTGGTACTGAAAGCATGTCAGCTTTCTTAACAGCTCCGCCAACAGCCTTCTCAATTCCCCTGTGGCGTGTGTCAATAACACAGCCCGTACTTGTTTTAGAAACAAGCGCTTCATAAGCACTCCTGTTTGATTTGCTTTGGCTGGTACAGGATCCAGATGCTCTTAGAATAGAACAACACTCTCTCCAAATCAGCCCATTCCCATTCTGAGCCACTTGCAGCTCTACTGGGCTGCTGGCTGGGGTTTGTCCCCAAGTCCTCCCTACCTGCCATGTGAATCACATTCAGTTGTCTTTTGCTATTGCCCTTTCCCTCTTGATGGAAGTAACATTTATTGAGTGCCTACTATGTGGCAGGTGTTGTGATAGGTACTTTAAATTGATTATCTCCCTTAATCTTTGTAACTCATTAAGTTATTAATAGCTCCAGAGGGAAAAGCT